GGTAAAATTTGACCCAAACTTTGCTCGAACTATCTATTTGCATTTCATAGTTTTCCAAAATTTCAACACACAAAAAAATCATTCCTGCGGGAATTTCTCTCTCTCTCTCTGCTCTCTCTCTCTCTCTCTCTCTCTTCTCTCTCTCTCTCTCTCTCTCCGCTCACTCTCTCTCTCTTCTCTCTCTTCTCTCTCCGTCTCTCTCTTCTATCTTTTTTTTTCTCTCTCCCTCCCTCTCTCGATCTTCTCTCTCTCTCTCTCTCTCTCTTCTCTCTCCGTCTCTTCTTCCTATCTCTCTTCCTCTCTCTCTCGCTCACTCTCCTCTCTCTCTTCTCTCTCCGTCTCTCTCTCTATTTTTTTTTTTCTCTCCCCGCCCTCTCTCATCTTTCTCTCTCTCTCTCTTCTCTCTCTTCTCTCTCGTCGCTTTCTCCTCTCTCTCGCTCTCTCCTCTCTCTCTCTCTCTCTCCTCTCTCTCTTCTCTCTCTCTCTCTCTCTCTCTCTCTCTCTCCCATCTTCTCTCTCTCTTCTTTGATTCACCGCATAAGAACTTGTATAAGGGATAATGAAAAAAAATGATCGGTCTCATACATTTATTACTGATACGAATTGTTCGATAATAATAATAATTAGCAATGATAACACTGACAATAATGATGATAATAATAATATAAGAGTATGATAATGTAAGAATAGTAGCAGTAATACAGTGACCAATGAAAATAATTAATATTTATTAATAAACTAAAAATAATAACATTAAGAAAAATGATATAATAATGACAATAATCATGAAAATGATAACAATGAGTGTAATAGTAACAATATTATAGTAGATATAATGATGATACTAGTAGTAATAAAATATTAATAATATCTATGATAATAATCGTGATAATAATAATGACAATAATCATGAAAATGATAACAATGATGGTCAATAGTAACAATATATATAGTAGATAATAATGATGATATAGTAGTAAACAAATATTAATAATATCTATGATAATACTATGGTTAATAACTGTGATAAATAATAATGAGATGAAAAATCCTGATAATGTTAATGACAATAATAATAATCATAATACTAATAAAAACAAACACAATAATGATAATGATAGTAATAATAATAACAATAGTAACAATAAAACAATACAATAATAATAAGGATGATTAAGAAGGAATAACAATAACAATGTTGAATATTGCAATGCCAAAAAATATATAATTTCAATATGATACAAAAAAAAAAAAAAAATTAAAGGAAATATCTTCATGAACCATTCATCATTTGCATAAAACATTTAATCTAATAATAGTTTAATCTCATTTTGTAAGCTCTGGTTTTTTTTTTTTGACGAATATCATCAATAATTATTTGAGCAGTATAAGCTTATCTAATATATTTTATCTTTTATTTAGCTTTTAACAACTTTTTTTTTGCTGGTAAATGAAAAGTAAATCATAAGTAAAAATCAAAATAGTTATGGATGGAGCACGCGGATATCAGAGACAGATGGATATTGATAGACAGTAGTAGATATATAGATATACAGATAGATAGATATAACGATAGATACGAGAGGGGAGAGAGAGAGACGAGAGAGAGGAGAGAGAGAGAGAGAGAGAGAGAGCAGAGAGAGAGAGAGAGATGAGATGGAGAGAGAGAGAGAGAGAGAGAGAAAGAGAGAGAGAGAGAAAGAGAGAGAGAGAGAGAGAGAGAAGAGGGGGCGAAGAGAAAGAGAGAGAAGAGAGGAGAGAAAGGATAGACAGACAAACAGCAGGAGGGTAGGAAACAGAGAAAGGCAAAATGAGACAGGACGATGATTCTTGGGAATCTCCCCTTCCGCAATACCAACTGCCTTACATCCTCACTACTCTGACCTCTTCTGCTGACGTCAGGACACGTCTTCCACGCACACAACGGCGGATGATAGTTCAGTCGCCCAGTTTCAGTCGTTTAGCTTGTCGTTCAGTTCAGTCGTTTAGCTCTGTCGTTCAGTTCAGTCGTTTAGCTTGTCGTTCAGTTCAGTCCGTTTAGTCTGTCGTTCAGTTCAGTCGTTTAGCTCTGTCGCAGTTCAGTCGTTTAGCTTGTCTTCATTCAGTCGGTTAGCCTGTCGTTCAGTTCAGTCGTTTATCTCTGTCGTTCAGTCAGTCGTTTAGCTCTGTCGTTCAGTTCAGTCGTTCTCACATAAGCAATTTCTTCTACAGTGACCGACGACATCGTGGCGGTGCCGGGCTGGTCGTCCTTCAGCACCAAAACCACGCCATCGAGAAAGTGATGGTGACTCCGCGTGGGTGACGGACACAGGAACCTGAAGGAGACCTCGTTGGTGTGTGGGTCCCGCGTGAGGGAGGACCTCGAGTGTGACGTGCTTCGGACGCCGCCACGGGGGAAGGACGTCGCTTCGTGGAGCTCATCGTCGACAGGGATGGCGAAGAAACCAGACACAGTCTCCGTCCCGTTGCGCCCCTCCATCTGGGCTCTGACGTCGACGGTGACTTCGCCCCGCGCCGAAGTCGTGGCTGAGGGGACCGTCCGCTGTGAAGTTGATGGGCTACGAAGACCCCGTTCGCGGCTGGTGTTGGTCTTCGGCGTCGGTGGACGTTTCAGGAGGAGCTTGATGTCTGTCTGTCCTTGTCGGGAAGGAAGGACACGGGGACAAACGACGGACTCGGTCTCCGGGATCTCCGTCGGGCCTTCGTGCGGCTCGACGTCGGTGGTTTCAGGGGCGAAGAATAGCGGGAACTCGCTGGTTATTTCTATCATTTCTATCAGTCCGTTTCTGAAGGCGGGCGGGAAGTTCATGGGCACAGGGGACGTTTCCAGCCCTTCAGCGGCCGTTTCGAAGGGGACACCCCCACTGTTGACGGCCGGTCTTCCTCTTCGCTCGCCTACCTCCTCCTCCTCCTCCTCCTCCTCCTCCTCTCGCCTTTCTCGATTTCTCCTTCTTCTCCTGGATCTCCTTCTGCAGCACTTCCTTCCGCTCCTGAAGCTGGCGATATTTTCCGTCACGTTCTCAGCTTCTCGACGACCTTCTCCTTCGTCGCCTGAATCTCGGCCAACTCCTCTACCTCTTCGCCAGCCCCTTCGCTCGTCGCGTTCCTCGACCTCTGCTTGTCACTCCTCGCTGATGCTCACGTCCCCGGCCACGATCTTGCCTTCAGAAAGGCGGTATGAAACTGCGTCAGGCAGCTGGGAACACGCCGTGCCGACCCGCCCGTCTGGATCATCGCGAGGACCGTGCCGCTGTGTCCTCCCCTCGGGGCAGTAGGGCAGCGTGAAGTTGTCGCTCGCGTCGCGCCTCCGTCGGTGCCTCTCCCGCCCTCCAGCGCCTCTGTCAGCCTCCTCAGGGCCTGCGTGGACTCGCCTCGTCTCGTTGAGGGCTTGTCCAAGCAGATGCCTCTCTCGCAGGTTGGCCGTACTGACTGCACCTGCTGCTCCAGCACCGCCTCCGTCTCCTCCAGCTCCTCATGCGTTCTCGTCTCAAGCGCCAGCTCCATCTCCGTCAGGTCGAACTGGAGCCTCCGGTCGTGGCCGTGTCAGTGAGGGTGACTGCTGCTGAGATTCAGTCGACCGCTAAAAAGCTCAGTCGACCCCATCGGAAGCTCAGTAGAACCCACCAGTAGTTCAGTTGTTTCAATCAGAATCACTACTGATTCAGGCACTGACTCGACTGACTCAAGAGACATCTCAGTTGCTGATTCAGTCGGTTCAGGCAGGCAGATCTGGGCTGGACTCCGGCGTGAGAATTATCTGTGAAAGAATAACAATAATCATAATAACTGTTCATAACAGCGATAAAATAAATAGCTAAATATTAAACGAAAACAATAATACATTTTCTTCTTAATTAATTATAATAATAACAGTAATAATAATGATAATATGAATGATAATAATAACAATAATAATAATAATAACAAAACAACAATAATAATGATAATAACAAAACAACAATAATAATAATGAAAAAAACAATAATAATGATAACGATGATAACAACCGAAAATAAATATATTAATAGTATCATACAAATACCAATAATAAGAGTAATACCTATAACAATAATAATAATAACAATAATAATAATAATAATAATGA